AAATACTAGCTGAAGGAAAGAATTAATGAATGGATGGAAAGAATCCATGCCAATTGCTATTACATGGACACCTTGCCACTGTGCCCACCAAAATGAACTTGCACTTGGTGGGCATCTGATCATAGGAAGGCAGTCCACATGCCAAACTATGACCTGCTGTAAAAAGGAAGCTTCACATAGTAGGTCCTTTCTGGGGGAATTTGAACTAAGAAATCTCTCCCAGACAGCCACAGACTCAAGGGCATACAGAATACAAGGTTCAAGTGTCCAAGGGTAGTATAGCACATGTGCTATGAGTCATGGCTGAGTGAGGAAGCCCCTGTGATAGCATGAAAGGCACACACTAGACAGGAAGAAAGCCTGTCAGCAGAGGCAAGCAGAAGCTGTGGGCCCACTGAGACCATGTCAGGGTTAGGAAAGTGACAGAGAAAGAGGAACTGGTTGCCTCAATTCCTGACAACTGTCTTACTTGGGCCCAAGGTGAGTACAATCTGACTTAAGAGGGAGACACAAGTGAAGCTGAGTCTTAAAACATGCAACTTATGGCCCAGGAGCCCCTTCAGCTTGCATAGTACCTTTGTGAGAAGTACATAAAATGTGCCTCATCTAGCCAGCAAGAAGCTTCTAGTCTTTGTGCAAAGATAAAGGCAGTGTCCTTTTCTCTTGGGAAGGATAAAACAGGCACACACGTCCACACCAGGTGCCCAGACTGCCCAGGGCAGAGCCCAGGCTAGATATGAGCCTCCTAGCCCCTTCTCCACCTGGTCCCCTTTTGCACTGTCCAAGCTGGCCTGTCTTTGCCAGACAGGAGGTCTTGCTGTACTGTAACCAAGCAGAGACAGAAAGTAAAGAGCAGATGGCCTCTGTTTGGCAAAAAAGCACCACTCTGAATTACCCAAATGTAAAGTCAGCTGGTGTCCATGGTTGCTGGCTCAAGGCACCTCAACTGTGGCTGGGGCTCAACGAAGTCATCACTTGAAGACTACAATTGTCTTTTGATCTTTCTTTTGGATCTCATGGGTCCAAAACAGTGCCTGGCACACAGCTGACCCACAGTCAAGACTTGATGAATGCTAACAATGGGAATAGGAGCTGGGCAGCGACCTCAGAGTCTCTATTTACTGAATACCAGGTTTATCAGTAGCAGCTCACTACAGCAAAGTTCCGAATGAGGAACAAGATTGGTGTAAAGGATGGGGGCTGGAGAGATGGCTCGGCAGTTAAGAGCACCGGCTGATCTTGCAAAGGACCCAGGTTTGATTCCCAGTACCCACATGGAGGCTAACAACCTTCTCTAACTACAGTTTCAGTGGATCTGATACCCTCTTCTGTCCTCTGTGGGCACTGCATGATACGGGTGCACTTATACACTCATACACATACAATAATACAATACACTCATACACATAAAATAATAAAAGAAATAAAAAATATTTTAAAAAGAGGACCCCTGGCCATATGCCATGAAAATCTTGTTTCAAGACTTCACTTTTGAAAGTCACTTTATTTATAAAAACACTATGTTGATTAGATTGTACAAGTTCAGA